CTGGTCACCAGACGTGATCTTCGCGTCGACTACCGTCGGAAAACCGCATGCCACCATTGCTACCTTGGCGGATAATGTCACCAACATCGCCGCCGTGAAAGCGAAGATTGAAAGCCGTGACACGTTCACTCAAATGGACCTAGTCGAACCGAAATTTTGTCGACGTGACTATACTTTGCAAACCGATATGAGGAACATTTCGGATATTGGTGTTCGAATCGACAATGAAGTCGCAGTTGTGCCGTCTTCCACGGACGTTATAGGAAAGTATGCTACCGGCAAGGCATTAACGACACGTTCAAAAACTTTATCAAATAGTTCGATTAAACAAGTAGCACAAACTACAGAGATGCCATTGATTATGACCAAACAAAAAGTGCCTTACGTAATTGAGAGCATCGATGAAGTTATCGTGTCATTGATGGCTTTACCTATAACATATACGGAAGAACGCGAAGACGATTATAAAGAAAAACTTCTAATCGCACGATTAGAATTACACGAAGTCAATCTACGTAGCCGGTTTCTAGAGGTGAAAACCCGGCTGAGCAGCTACGAAAATATGACATGGTTTGCGAGTGGTCTAGTGAGTACCCTTTAAGCAACTAAAGGTTAATTCATGGAGTTTATTAAAAAATGATGCAGGTCATAGGAAGCAATTTATTTAATAGTTTAATACTCTCAGAGACTTATCGGATAATTCGAGTGATGTTAAAGAATAAAGATCCTGTAGACATTAAGACATTCTTCATCTTGAGTGCCTGGTTAGGCATCATAAACAACATTTAAAAAGTGCAAGCCTACTGAAAAAGAAGATACTTATTCAACTTGTCAAGAAACAAGTTGTAGCATACGAAATCAACAGGCACCATTATATGAAGTTCTAATTACTACCAAGGTAATATCTTGATTTTACTGTTTTTTTTTATCAATTTTTCAATTTATGTTAAAAGCGAATTTATTTTTTCAATTTTTACTATAACTGTTGCTTTTTTTGTTTATTTTTCTTGAAAGTTTCTATTTCTTACTTTAATCGTTTTTGTAATATCTCTTTAAGAATTGTTTGAATTTTATTATACTTCTGTTTTATGAATTTTTACTAATTATTAGAACACATTGATTACTTTTCTATTAATGATTTATTTATTTTATTATTGATTTTTTTCTCTTACTCGAGTTATATCGAATATTTTTTCTTTGAGATATATATACTACTACATACATATGTATATGAGATATATGTCTATAATTTTTTGTTTATAATTATTTTATTATGTACCTTATTTTGATGTGACAAGTGTTTTTTTATATATTGTTATAAATAAACACATTTTTCAATTGTATTTACTTTTTTAACACTAATTTTTTGTTGTGATATTCATGACTTAATTTTCAGTGTATCTCTTCATTAATTTTTTTTTTTTATTATACACATACATTTTATATAGCTTTGTAAAATGTAATATTATTCTTCGCCACAATTTTATTTTTATTTATATCATTTTATTACTTAATGTTTTGTGTATTATGCATGATAATTAGACCCCGAATTTATATGCATTATATACACTATATACATCTAAATGTATGAGCGTTTATGGAGGTTTAAAATGTCCACGATTCATTTCACACTGAATTTAAATAACCAATTTTATATTGCATATAACATGCATATTTAATAGGTTTTTAATAAATTAACTATTTTAATTTACAATAAATTTTGTAATCACCTTGAATAGAGCATGAATAGACATGATAAGTATTGTTTCAAAAATATTATTCTAAAAGATTTGTATTTTCTTTTAAGTTTTCTATTAGTTTATTGAGAGTAGATAACTTCAAATGATATAAAATATTTATTTTTAATTTTTTTTTAAATTAATAACTATTAGACTTGGAGAGCTTAAATACAGTATAATACAATAAATTTGATCAAGGTGAAGGCTTACAATTATATGACCACACATTTGTAGATATTCAAAACAAATTTCATTTTCGTTATATGAAAAACACAAATTTTTTGCATATATTTGGGTGAGGGAAACAAAAATCTTTTAATATCTACTAAAACAGCGGTTCCTAAAGTATGTGCCGCGGCACCGCGATGTCTATATAAGGGCGTCACACCGTCATGAAATATTATTCCGTCTAAAATTTTGTAGTACAATAAGTCATGTTATGACTTGGGGAAGGACGTCCTGAAAAAATCTTAGATCTAAAAGGACGCCGTAAGTCGAAAAAGGTTAGGAAGTACTGTACTAGAAGATTAATGAGGGAGAGTGTTTTGACACTTCCTAGCTATGCCACTGCTTAGAATATTTTTATTGTTTAAAAAATTGTTATTTTTATTAACTACATATAAAGGTAAATTATATTTATTAAAGTAATAAAAATTAATAAGTTGATTCATATTTTTCAAAATGAAAAATGTATATACTTAAACATATATTGATTGCATAGTACATAATAAATTGAATAAAACTTGAATTATACTAATTAAAAATAGTAATAGATTATGGACTGACACAAATAAAAAAATAAAATATGTTAAAATAATTTGCTCAGCCATACTTAATTTAAATATTTATTCTCAGTTACATTATTGACCTGGAGCAAGCAATGACTTTTCCATAAACTTCTTACGAGCAAAGCATAACCACCATTTTGATGGTTTACCATCATCAGTAGAAAACACTTTTTCACAAACTCTTCGGCCAGTCTCCTTTCGTAATTGCTCCAAATATAAACGCATTAGATCTATTTTAAATAAAATATTTTTATACTATAGTGATTAAAGTAAATTTAACTAATTAATATTATTTAATGTAAAATAAATTAAATAACTAAATATTGAAATACCTGCTTCGCCTGTTGATGTTGGTTTTGCATAAACGGAATTTAAAGGAAATCCAGCCTCACCGGGTATATCAAATCTATAGAGTGCCAATGAATACATTTCAGACATTCCCTGGTCTTTACTTTGACATTTTAGTAATTTTTTCAAACACTCAGTTATATATAATGTAATATAAATCAATACACGGTCTGCTTCACTCTAAAAGTAAAATTAAAGATATTTATATTGATTATTAAAAGTTATCTAATGAAAAATAAAAGTCAATACCTTAACTTCATAAGATCTAAAAAATACATTTGCTTTGAAATAAGATAAAGCCTCATCAATTATGTCCATATCTGAATTTGTAAGACTGAGTAAAGGTGCTGGACCTTTGTATTGAGATTTGATTGGAACTATTGCCATATTTCCAGCCAATTGCTGGAAATCTTTTATACTGGAATGATAAGCCTAGAAAAACATTACAAATTATTTTAATATGTCAAGTGGAAGTCATCAGCACTATTAAAATAATAGGTACCAAAGACCTAGATTTTTATTTTTAACTTTGTAATAAAATATAAATATTTTTAATTTAAATTTTCTTTGAAAATTGGTATTTGAATATATTATATAAGTTGATTATCATACTTCAAATATCATTCAAAAATAATATAGATTTTCATTAAAATACTCATTTGCTTTATAATATACATGTAATCAATGATTTTATTATAAACCAATCATCCAAATACATTTGTTACTATCAGTTTTAAAATTAATATCCAAATAATTAATTAAATGAAATCTGTTATTTTAAGTACTATATTCATATCAATAACAATGTTTTAATGATAAAATAAATATTTTGAAATGTAGTGCTAAAGTCAATACTTATACCATAATTTAGAACTTAAATAATTTGCATACTTTTGTTTTTTATTCTAAAATATAGCAGAGTGCAAAATAAATTTATTTGTCTGTCATGATACTAAATCTAAAATTTGAATGTGCATATTTTTGCTTATTTCATAGGTTTTGCAAGATAGTGCTAATTTTTACATTTTTTGTGGTTATTTTACAATCTAAGAGCATTTACATTTGAAAACTTGTGGAAACATTTAATTATTCAATGTAACAACGAAGATACATAAATGCATTTTTAATAAATTATTTATTTATTAATATAAATATAGATAATAATTTTTTAATTTTTCCTATAATTATATAATTTATGAATAAAATTAAAAAACTGGGAAGGTACCGATTTCAAGAAACGAGTTAACAATTATTCGTTTTTTTACATTTATAATTAATAAACACTAAATTATTAACTTTACTACTAATTATTAATAATAAATAAATTAAATATATATTTTTCATTTTTTTAAGCATATTTTAGTGCTTATTATTGTATTATTAACTGCTATAAGTACTAGACTCTGTTTATAACTAAACAATTATTCAAAAATACTTACTGGCATAGTGTTTAGATGTCCGGTATAACAATGACACAGTAGAATAACGCAATAATATATCAAGGATTATTGATTAATCAAAGAAATCAATTATGTGTGTTGACTAATATTAAACAATACCTTTATTTTAATCAACCAATAATCCAACATAAATAGTCATAGCTGTTTATCACGATTCGAAATAAAGAATAATACTCTGAAACTAATTCATAACTTATGATTACGGAACAAAATAGTAAAACTTAAATTAACCACACAGAATTTTATCATGAATAAATAATATACATTAATCATAAACCCGTTTATCAAAGAATTATTATTTTTTTATCAACTTTCGGTTATTATCAAAAACTGCTGTTTCTATGATAACATTCTAAATTTCTGTTATCATTTCTATATACACATAACACATTTAACATACATTTGACTGGTACAATTAATATAAGTAGTATGTTAATGAAAAACGTTTCAATGACTTGTCTTAAAATTAAAAGTCATAATAAATAGTGATAAGTTCTATGATGATTACGAATTACAAAGTATTCTACAATAAAGGTATAGATTGTTTGGTTTAATATAATATGTAAGTTCCTGATTACATTTATATTGTTCTGTTTTAATTTGTTATGTACAATATTTTAATTTTTAACACACTTACAATGAATGCATATTTGTATTGCTTCAATATTTATAGTTATTTATTTATATTTAATATGTCATAAAGCTTCTAAATAAAAATAATATACAATTAATACATTATTTCATAAAATACTTATATGCCTACAAACCTTTAATTTGAGTGCTTAGTTAATTAAATATTATTTTTTCTACTACAGATTTATAAACATTGTAATTATAATGTGGACTAATTACAAACGGTTGTTGAATGGCATTAAAGTAAATACAATTACTAGTATTTCTTATAAAAGCCATTACCAAGCACTTAATATCCCCAAAAATGCCACACACAAAGAAATAAAGGATGCTTATTACAGACTCTCAATGATATATCATCCAGATAAAAATAAAGGAAGTGAAGAAGCGGCAAAAATTTTTCGAGATATATCTGAAGCTTATGAAGTTTTAGGAAATGTTCGTCAAAGAAGATTATACGACAGTGGAGCTAACCTTAATCAAAAAAATGCAAAACATAGTACTCAACAACCATTTGAAACAATGAAAACCTCAAGTGATATGTATAAAACAGATATCCGTAGCAGAGAATATAATTTTAATGAATGGTCTAAAGCTCACTACACAAATGTTTTTCAAAAACAATATACTGCTCGAGAAATGCTTTCTAAAAAAAAAAAAAATGATGACTATGCAGAACAACACAATACCTACAGTGCTATGGCATTTTTAGTATTTTCAACTATTTTTGTTTTAATTTATATGATGGAATACATAAAAACAGCTGTCCATAAGCATGATGAAATTAAAAGATTTGAAAAAAAAAAAGATTCAAAGTAATTGCTTATTATTTTTATATGTAGTTTGTTATAAATAAAAATAATTTAATTAATGATTATATTCAGTTTAATTTTTTTTGATATTGAAACTTTTAAGAACTTGATTAATACTAATCAAACATGTTCAGGAATTAAATATATTTTGAAATTAATATACCATGCATCATGAAATTTTGAAATTTAGATGCTTAATGAACTAAAAAATGTTTCTGCTTTACAAGAATAGTTATTTCTTTATATGATTCTTGTAGTAGAAAAAATATTTTTAAATACATTTTTTCATTTTATTGATGCAATATTGAATCAAAAAAAAAAAAAAAATTAGTAGACATATAAGAGAATCCTTTTTATTTTTATTTTCTCAATTATATCTATACACACAATAAATGCAAACAAAGTTAAATTTTTGTTTATAATTGTTTGTGTTTGTAATGTAATTTTTTTTCTTTATATTTTAGGTCATAATAAATTATTATATTATCAAACTCCAATATGTCACATTTATCTTAAATTTTCTGACCAAATCATTTGACACATTACATTTAATATTTACACATATACAGTAGTAAGCTAAAATTTGTATAGAATTATTTTTTTGAGTATAAAGAAATATCCATGGCATTCAGATTCTCTATTTTCAGTCACTTCTATTTGTATAAAACCAGTCAACATGTTTTTATTACCAAAGAACAAAATATATGGTAATATATTGAATATTTCAATCTGAAAATTTTTTTTTTTATAAGTTATTAATTGTTATATTATTATTGTAAGTTTAATTATTAGATTTTATTAAAAATGTTAATGTGTTAAACATTTATTATGTGTACATTTTTTTTTGTCTTAATTATGAGCACTCAGTTAAAAAAATGTTTGTTTATAAAATTACAACTGTATTACTGATCCCTAAACTAAATTAACATACTATTTTTATCTGTAACAAATACTAATCCCAAAACCAGACAAACCGCCTGATATCCCATCTTCCTATAGACCAATCTCTCTCCTCCCCACACTCGCAAAAATTTTTGAAAAAATACTCCTCAAAAGGCTACTTCCACTATCGAACAAATTCAACATCATCCCAAACCACCAATTTGGATTCCGCTCCAAGCACTCCACCATCCACCAACTCCACCGCACTGTCGACCAAATCTCCACCAGCATGGAAGCAAAACATTATTGTGCAGCTGTACTCCTTGACGTGGCTCAGGCCTTCGACAAGGTGTGGCATGAAGGACTTCTTTTCAAACTTAAAAAATTCCTCCCTGCCCCTTATTACCTTCTTTTAAAATCATATCTCGAAAATCGCACCTTCTGTGTTCGCGTTAATAACAGCTACTCGCCAAAATTCCAAATACTAGCTGGAGTCCCTCAAGGAAGTGACATAGCTCCCTTCTTATACTCTATTTTCGCCCACGACACTCCGACCTCTCCACACACATCATTGGGTACATATGCTGACGACACGATAATCCTGGCTTCCAACAACGACCCACAGATAGTATCTCTCTGGCTACAAAATCATCTTAACTCGATTCAATTATGGTCAAACCGATGGAAGATCAAAATAAATGAAGCCAAATCATCCTTTATCACGTTCTCTCTAAGACCAGGCGACTGCCCCTCTGTATTGTTCAATAACAACCAAATTCCAACCACCCCGACAATAAAATACTTAGGTCTAACCTTTGACAGACGTCTCACATGGGCTCAACACCTTAAAATCAAAAGAAAGACAGTCAACTCCAGACTCCATCTACTCCGCCCACTTCTTAAATCTAAGACAACACTAACTAATAAACTACTAATATACAAAGCCATCATCAGACCTGTTTGGTCCTATGGCATCCAGATTTGGGGCTCTGCCAAACCCTCCAACACGCGAACAATTCAGGCTTTTCAGTCCATCTGTCTGAGACAAATTGTCTCCGCCCCATGGTTTATCACAAACAATAATCTCCACAAAGATCTCAATATTCCGTCGCTCTCACAACTAACAAAGTCTCACTACGTCTCATTTCACTCCAAGCTAATCCATCACTACAATCCTTTAATAAAACGCCTATCCTCTCGAACAATCCCTGATAACCCTCCAAGACGTCTAAAACGCTCCTGGCCTAGAGACCTTCTAATTTAATCTGTCGGGTGGCACTACTGAGTGCCCTCCCACATCTGTCACTCTCGATATGTAAATACTATGCTTATATCAAAATTACTAAATGTACTTAAATTGCTGTATAGATTGTAATTATATTTTAATAAAAAATTAAAAAAAAAAAACAAATTAATAAATACCACTGGTACATTCAATTTTCTTATAAATAACAGGGAGGGATTAAATTATGAATACAGTTTTCATGCATAGATAATAAATATAATATATAATATATATATATTCTTTATTAACTATGTTTTTATGTCAATATTAAAAAAAATTTTATATCTCTTTGACAACAATTTAATGTTCATGTGATTCCATCATAATTGACATATACCACATTTTATACATAACTTTAAATATTCATGATGTGCATATTTTCAATCTAATTATTGTAAAACTGTTTTTTTTTCTTTTGGTCCTTGGTAGGATTTATACGAGCGCTTCCCTGCAGTAAAGCATTTGACTGGCTTATCATAAAAGAACGTTATCATAACTTCAAATTGTAAAATGTAAAATGTAAGAGCTAGAAGATCTCTTTTGATTTAAAAGGTATATATTAATATACTATTAGGTATATTATAATGTATAGTTTTATAAATTCTTTACATTTGATGAATATAAATTATATTATGTCCTAATGTATATGGTAGATAGGCAGGCACGTAGCTAAAGGAGGGCCAGGGTGTGCCTGGCCCACCCTAATATGTGTCCGGCCTTAAGCCGGCCCACCTAAAGTATTGAGAGGGGCTCATTATTATACGATTGCTTTTAATTTTTACCAAATTTTTAATATTGCCTAAATATGACGCAAATAAAACCAAATACATCGGGTTTTAATTATAATCTAAGTAATGTAACTTGTAACTAAATTTAAACAATCGATTATGAAATAATTGCTACTTAAAGCTAAATACCGGTACTATACTACAATGTCAAGTTGTTCTTATCATATCTAGACAGTGACTACTGTATACTAGTATGTCTATTTTTAAAATACTTTGAGCGAGGGTATTGTCATTATATTGATTCATATAAAAATATAGAATTATATTATGGTCTCCGATTGAGGTGCGTTACCCCAGCACCCGCACTTTCGAAAACATGAATTGTAATCAAGCAGTATTATGTACTTTATTTTGTACAATTTTGTACAACCAAAATTAAATTTTATACAACCCTCGAACCTCCCCGAAATTTAATTTCATTTTACGGGTGCTGCGGTAACGTTACACCAGCACCCGGATCAACTAATTTTCACAAATTTCAACTTTAAACCGTACAGTATTATGTACTTTATTTTGTACAATTTTGTACAACCCCCAAACCTCCCCGAAATTCAATTTCATCTTACGGGTGTTATCGCGTATCTTCTATCAATATTGTATCTAAGATACTTTTATCGAATATACAGCACTTCCTTTTAGGTAGAAATAGTTGCTGTTGATTAACTTATATAATTCAAAAAGAATCAACAGAATATATTAGGTAAGTTCGCAGATATCAAGATTTAAAATTATGTCAATTATATTAAGTAGGTGCATTATTTTAATAATAGTTAAATTAATCATTTATATATTTATATATTAATATCATATTACATTTTTACATTTTTTAATGAATGATTTATTTTCTGATAAGAATAACAAAAAACAATCGAAGAGTATCTACATTAAATGCAGATACATCGGTACATGTATATGTTTTGTTTTTACTAAATACAGTTGACATAAGAATGTCAACGCCGATTAGGTATTAGTTACTAGGATTATGCTGTAGGTAACTTTTTTAACACGTGTAAAAAATAAATAAGGTTCAAAAATAGCATGTTAAATATTTTTTTGAATAAACATTTTATTTTAATTTAAATTACAGAATCGTCATTTATAACACTTTTAGTGATTAATAATAAAAAACGGTATAGTGAAATACAAAGCGTACTCACGCGTTTCAAGCTGCTCGATGTGTCCATAAAATACTTAAAAAATATGTATATTAATATAAAATAATATAAATATGTTTACGAAGAGTAATAAGCTAACTAAAATTATAAATACCGATAATTCCCACCTACTGACATCGACGAACAAACTATTAACCAATATCAGTTATATTTATATAATTTATAATGAGTTATTTTTATCGTCAATATAATTATTATACAACTAGCTATAACTAATGTAACTTTTTTACTCATTTTTCTCAAAACTACTCCATTGTTGCTTACTGCCTTTTGGCTTAGGAGGTCAGTATACATGTCAATAAACATCGTTTTATATTTGTTATGCCGTAGGTATACCGTAAAAGTTTTTATTATTTTAATATTGTCTGACTAATTTCTTGTCATCATCACAGTAGGAGTTGTAATTTGATATTGTTATCTTAATGTTAAGAATAAAAATATAATATTGCATTTCTTAAAATAGTCTAATACAATCTGATTTTAGGTTATACAATAATAATTACTATTTGTAACCAATGAACAATGATACTAAGTAGTTGGTACGTCGTACGTGGGCATTATGCTACATTGCTACTTTCAACATTGTCGACTAATTCGTCTATTCATGATATCGCGCTTCTAAGCTTTACTACAACAAAATGTATCGAATATTTTGACTCATAGATTCATTTTATTTTAGTAATTTACTATAATTTTGTCTATAATAATATGTATTTGGTTTTAATATGAACTTGAATGTACCTATCGCCTAATGTCTTAATGTACTTCTGTTTTTTCAAAATTGTGATCATTTAAATAAATTAAATTTATGTCGTGTATTAAGTATAATTTCCTTGAATTTATTTTGTTTTATATTAAAATATAATTAAAACTTTTGTGTATTACTCTAATAAGTGATGGCAAACGATAATAAAGAAAGAAAACCAAATAATTTAAATGAAAATATTAATGATGAAATTTTAAATTTGAAAGATCAAATTACTTTGGATGGCTATAGTATTATTGTATTAGTATAGGTATCTAAATAATATAAACAATGCAATGTATGATTCAACATACCTACAGCTTTAATACATTCAAGTACCTATTCAATTATTTTAAATGTGTAGGATCTACATTTTAAATTTATCAATTACCTATAATAGTTACCTACTACCTACTACAATTAATTAAATTGACTGTAAATAAACAAACAAAAGATTTCTTCTTTTAGAAAATAGTCTAAACATAGTCAATATAAGACTTATAAAAATAAAAATATAAAATTAAATAGAGTTGTATCTATGATAATTTTGCCTTTTATTAGGTATAATTTGTAATTTCCAAAAAATATGATATGTTTATTTTCGATTTAAAATTTATTTTATGCAAATTTGATCAACAATATTATTGTTAACACATTGATGGACATTCTGTATTTTGGTTTTTTTCTTAAGAACCTTCAGAAACGCAATTAAATATTAATGCTATAGCAGTAGAGATTTGACCACTGCAATAGCAGTACTGTCCACCTACATGGTAATATCATAATAATTACACATTTTGTCGATATTTTTCGGTACACAATATTTATTATATTTGATATTTATTTACGTAAATATTTAACGCACTAACAACTCGATAGTCCACACACAAGTGCAACTGGATTACCAAAACTAAATATAACAAAAACAATCATTACTCATAAATTATAAACAATGATTGTATTATTAGCCGGATTGTTATTTGTTATACTGTATGGTATAAATTTTAAAATGAAAAGAAACAGTTTTCAGAAATAATTGTCAATAAAATTCCCGATAACATATTATAAACGGCAAATACTAAAAATAGAAATAATTGATTATTAAATACAATGCATAATGATCCGTTGAGTTGCAGTGGGGTAGTATATAATAAACATCTTATATTACATTTTAAAGATTTTTTTAGGAGCCAAATTTTTTTATAGATATTTAATTAAAGAAAAAAAAAATTAAAAAAAAATCGAAAATTTCAATGGTCTATAAATATTTTGAAAATTTAATCATAAATATATAACACTAATACAAACATTTGGTTAAAATTTCAAGTATTTACAATGATTCGCTTTTGAGTTACAGCAAAATCAAAAAATCGATTTAGTCGAAAAGTGGTTGTACATAAATTCATGTTTTTCCGTTACTTTTTCAGGGTTATTACAGAGTCTCATAAAAACTAATAAAAATTTTTTACTATTAATTACCTAAAGTATAAACTAGATTAAATTAAATTTTTAAAGAGGAGCTGAAGTCAAAAATCAAAGCACTATTACCACTCCAAAACGTGATGACAGACACAATAAAAAAAAAAAAATAAAAAAAAGCACACATCATTGTAAAATAAACACGTTCATCACTCCGTTAAGAATCTAAAAGTTTAATAAAAAGTATTAACATAGATGTTCCAGAATATAGAATTAACCTATAAAAATGGAAAATAATTTAGTACATATTAAAGAATTTAATTATATGAATTACCAACAGAAGTTGAAGGTGGTAAATTATGATAATAGATAAAGGGGAAATATTAGAATTTTGTACTCGAACTTCTATGAACTTTACGAGCCGCCTCTGGTTTGGGAATTGTACAAAATAAAGTACATAATACTGTACGGTTTAAAGTTGAAATTTGTGAAAATTAGTTGATCCGGGTGCTGGTGTAACGTTACCGCAGCACCCGTAAAATGAAATTGAATTTCGGGGAGGTTCGGGGGTTGTACAAAATTGTACAAAATAAAGTACATAATACTGCTTGATTACAATTCATGTTTTCGAATGTGCGGGTGCTGGGGTAACGCACCTCTCCGGTTGGGCACTTACATTCACATTTAGCGCACGCCGCACTTATGCTAACGTCACCTGCGTTAATATTTGTTCAATTTATAGTATTTATACATTTTATCTTACATATTTAATATTTAAATTAATTTTAAAATAGCACATCTCAGTGGATGTGCCAAAAGAAAACTAAAATTACAAAGAGAAAAGTAAAATGATAAAATATGGTATTATTAGGTTATATACTATATTAAGAGTTAAGACCTTTAATTCCATTCTTGTAAAAAAATAACTACATTTTTCTAGTAATTAATATGTAATAAAGCAATTATATTTAATAACTCCAATCTCCATTACAACTATTTATTTGCTCTACTACCTACCTACCATATACATTAGGACATAATAAAATTTATATTCATCAAATATAAAGAATTTATAAAACTATGATAACGTTCTTTTATGATAAGGCAGCCAAATGCCTTACTGCGGGGAAGCGCTCGTGGATTTATTGTGAAACCCAACTTCCTATTTGTACTTCACTAGGTATACTTAATGACACTAAATCAGTGTTTCTTAACCTGTGTTTCGCGGAACCTTAGGATTCCGCGAAAGTGCTGTTCTGTGCTTTTATCAAAATATTAAAAATAGAAAGCTAGAATTCTAGAGGTAACTAGTGGGAAAACCCGTTAGACGTGCACAATATATTGTATAAACTATAAGATATTATTATATTGTTATATGAGAGTCAATTTTTTTTTTTTTTTTTTTTTTAATTTTTATTAGAAATAAACAATCTATACAAGTAATGCATAATAAGCTTATGTGCTAAGAGAAGACATGACATGAAAAATTGAGTAAGAAGCCACCCACTGGCAACACTTAGCATGAATTATTTATATATGTTTTTTTTTTATTTTTTTCCCCATATGTTGAGATTAAATTTATAATTGTAGTAGGTCACGACACCATTTCCTTTTTAGCCTGCGCCTTGGATTCCCCGGGAGAGTTTGAGAGGAGAGGGTTTTAATAAGAGGATTTTGGTGGGATAGAAGTCGTGTGCGGTACCGCAAGTAAAATGATTGAGCTTCTTCATTGATGGTTTTTATGTGAAAGTCATTATGTAATGTTAGGTTAGAGACGTATGGTGGTGCATTGGACAGACGACGGAGAGCTAGGTTTTGGAATACTTGGATTTTATTGGTATTGGATTTTTTTGCTGAGCCCCAGAGCTGTATGCCATAAGTCCAAATAGGTTTTAAGAGGGTTTTGTAAATTAGAAGTTTGACTTTCAGACTTGTTTTATTATTTCTCGATATTAGAGGATTGAGGATGCGCATACGGGCGTTGAGAGTCAGTCTTTTGGTTCGAATATGATTTTTCCATGTTAGTCGTTAATCAAGATTGAGTCCCAGGTATTTTATTGTGTCAGATGTGGGAATTGGGATGTTATTTAATGTAACAGTTGGACAAATTCCCTTCTTGAGAGTAAATGTAGTGTTACTTGATTTGTTTTGGTTTATTTTGATACGCCATTTGTCGTACCAGTTAGACATTAGGCAGAGATGGAGTTGCAGGTTTGATGAGGCGGCTATCGGATTTTCACTAATTGACAAAATTACTTTATCGTCAGCATAATCAGCCACCATGGTTTGAGGCGTGGTGGGTTGATCAGCGACATATATGTTGAATAGAGTTGGAGATAGGATGCCCCCTTGTGGGACGCCAGCATTGATTTTGGTTATTTCTGAGTATGCAGAGCGATAATGTACTTGAAAGTGACGATCGGTTAAGTAAGATTTGATAAGAAGAAAGAGCGGGTGGGGAAGAAAACTTTTGAGTTTGTAAAGTAATCCGTCATGCCAAACCCTGTCAAACGCTTGGGATACATCAAGAAAGACACAGGTACAGTAAAGTTTTTTTTCCAACGAGAAAGATATTGCATCGACAATCCTATGAGCTTGATGAATGGTACTATGTGAGGGTCTGAATCCAAACTGGGTGTTCGGAAGAATATTGTTCCTGACAATATATGGAGTCATTCGTTTGAGGATAAGCCTTTCAAAAATTTTCGATAAGAAGGGCAAGAGACTTATCGGCCTGTATGAGGATGGGTCGTCTAAGGGTTTATCAGGTTTAGGAAATAATATAATTTTTGAGAATTTCCAAAGGATCGGAAAGTAGGAGAGTCTTAGGCATGCATTAAATATATATGTTACCAGTACTATTGCTTTTTTGGGGAGACATCTAGCTACTTCTGCCGTTAATAGGTCGTAACCTGGCGATTTTTTTAAGGAGTATTTTTGGATAGCTTGTTTGATTTCATTGGGCGTGAAATATTTTTCAAGATGATTGGAGGTTGAGGGAAGGTCTAAACCAGCCTTTACCTCATCAACAAATTGAGGTATGAGTATGTTATGATGTGGTTGGAAGGTTTCATGTAGGTGTGCTTTAAGAACTTTGGCTTTATCGGTATCAGAAGAAGCAAGTGTATGGTCAGGTTTCTTTAGAGGGGTAGAAGGAGTTTTAATACTAAGTAATTTCTTGGTTTCTTTCCATAAGCTACCGTCGGAAAATGAAAGATTGGTTAGTTTTTGTTCTAGTGTATCCGCTTTGTTTTTAGCTAGGGTTTTTTTTAGGGAGTTGGCTAACTTATTATAAGCGTTTTTGTGTGACGGTAGACGCGTGCGTTGATAAACTGCTCTGGCTCTACGTTTTTCCACAATTAGTGAGCGTATCTGTTCAGGAAGGGGAGTCTGCTTCTGGACTGAGTGCTTAGAGGTGGTTAAAGTATTGGATA